CGACTCCTTGGCTCTAGCGCGTTGCCCAGAAAGCTGGCTGCACCGGGCTGTCTAGAAGGTGTTCTCATTCAGTGCATCTCCCAGGGAGCCCTGGCAATATAAATTAAAGCTGCCTTCCCCCTGAGGAGGCCTCCGCCAGCATAGCTGTCCCACCAGGGTGCAGTTTTGTAGGTTGCACATGCCTGCCCCTATGTAGGTGAATCGATCTTGTATTTGGGCATAATTAGCCTGCGTTAGGATGTGTCACGATGGTCGTGATAGAAAAATATTGCAGTTGAGATATTAATAGTAGCAATAAACATGGACTGTGGAACTCATTGCTACATGATGTTGAGGCCAAGAACTTGGCAAGATTCAGAGAGGGATTAGATGTTTACGTGACTAGCAAGAATGTCCAAAGTTGCTGTAGTAAATAAATAATAATAATTCATCATTAATAAAGACCTTGGGCATGGATATAAAACCTCATGCTTCCGGTTTAAGTCAGGCTCTGACTATTAGGGGTTAGGATGAAACCCCCTGTGGGCAGATATTCCACATCTGCCTTCTGTGGGATTTCTTTTATCTTCTTCTGAAGCATCTGGTGCAGGCTACTGTCTTAGACACAATACAGGACTAGACAACCCCTGAGTCGAATCCAGTCTGGCAGTTCCTATGTTCCCCACTATTTAAATACCTGGCAGAGTTTGTTTTTCATAGAAATCAGAACTAATTTATATTTAGTTCAGAGTGAGCAGAAGCTCAAAGCCACTGAGTAATTGCAATTAAAAATATATTTTTTCCTCTCATGCAACCTCCTGCCTCTGCTCCTCACAAGACTCCTTTCTTTAACACCTCCTTGCATTCCTGTCTCTGTGCCTTCGTCCATACAGTGCCATGTCTAGGACATTCTGCCTTGCCTTGTTTGCCACTGCCATCCTCTCTCTTTGTTCAAATTCCTCCGTAAAATGCATCTCTTCTGAGAGGCCTTTCAAAAACACTGTATATGAATAATTTTAATAATGCCCAGCCAAGCAAACTGCAGGTCAGAGTGGTTTCAGCATTCCAACCATCCCAGGCCGGTCCACCACTGACCCCTTCCTCTCTCCTGTCTGCCTGATCCTTCTGTTTCCATGTGTCATTGGTCTGGTCTACACTGCGGGGGGCGGGGGATCGATCTAAGATACACAACTTCAGCTATGAGAATAGCGTAGCTGAAGTCGACGTATCTTTGATCGACTTACCTCCCGTCCTCACGGCGCGGGATCGATGGCCGCGGCTCCCTCGTCGACTCCGCTTCTGCCTCTCGCCCTGATGGAGTTTCGGAGTCGACGGGGAGTGCGTTCGGGGATAGATTAATCACTCTAGACGAAACGCAATAAATGGATCCCCGATAGATCGATCGCTACCCGCTGATCCGGCGGGTAGTGTGGACGTACCCATTGGCTTCTGCAGGAATGGGATCAACACCTTTGTCTCTGCCTCCAACTCAGAGCTTCCTGCCTTTCTTTAATACCAGTCCCTTTCACTTCCCATGTTCCAAGTGGCCTTCTACATTCACCACTGATTGTCTCAACAGTACCTGTTGCTTTGTCTCTTCCACTGGACTGATTTACACTGTTGCTTCTTGGCCTTGTTTCTCTCTCACTAGCATAGCTAGGTGCAAGTCATCCTGGCCGTGGTCTCTTCCTGACTAGCACGATGCAGTTTTGGGGGAACTCTTTCTGGCTGCAGAGGCCCCCAGGCAGGAGAGTCTGTAGGAGCTGTGTGCAATTACAACTCTCCTGAGCAGGACTTCTTGCTTAGCCTTAGATCATGCCAACAGATGTCAGTATAATCTAGGGACTCTGCTCCTGGTCTCCCATGTGATTGTCAAGTTCTGCATGCACCTCAGGCTTGGTGTAAATAATAATAATGTTATGGTGGTGATGGCCACGTATCTATTGCTGTATAGGATACAGAACTGCAGCAAGGCCAGTGAGTCTTAACTGATCCCATTTCTGATTACTTTGCCCCCTCGACTGGTAAGATGCTGACAATTTTTCAACTCCCTTTTATTCGATGTATTCTAAAGTCGTAATTTCATATGCCTGCTACCTTATATGAAACACAGCGCCACCACCAGCGCCTCGTCCTTCATTCTCCCTGCCGCCTCCTACTCTCTCTTCCTCTCTCACTTCTTCCTTCAAAAAGAAAACGGATAACCTTGGTCCGTGACCTGTAATATTGCAGTCACAGGGGCTGCGACCTGTGATATTGAATAGTGACACTGCTAGGATTTGTTGGCCAAAGGGCTGACTTGTCGGTTTTGTTCTTATGTCTGTCTCCAGTTCCATTTAATTCTTTTTACAGGGCACTTCCAAAAGAAAAGCCTCAGAGCTCTCTGCAAAATCCTGATGGAAAACTGAAAGTAAATAGAACTGTGGTGCTAACCAGAGGGAGGCAGGCTACATTTCACTACCCAGTCACTTTTCTTGCATTTCCTCCCACTTTATTTGTTTAGGCCCCAATCCAGCAAAGATTTTTAACACAGGCTTAACTTTAAGCACATGAGCAATCCCATCCTAGGCCTTCAGTGGGCGCTGAAGGGACCCAGTACTGCAATTTTGGGGTACATACACCCCCCCTCCTTGGTTTGCTCATGGAATGCCCCATCAGATCTTATCCCTCTAGCCACCACCTCTCTCTCTGAGCAGAGACCCACATCCCTTTCCCTCCTGAGCAGGGGTCTCCCCACCTCTGAAAATCAGGCTACTTCTTTAGGTGCCTAATTATGGACGTTGATGTCTAACTTTAGGCATCCGAGTTTGACAGTGTTGGCCAGCGTTCTTACCAGCTCAAGCGTATTTAAGTTAAGAGCCAGCATTGGCACAAGAACAAATGCATATAATCTGGTGACCAACAAGTTTAGGCTTGAAATTAGACAAAGGTTTCTAACCATCAGAGGTGTGATGTTCTGGGACAGCCTTCCGAGGGGAGCAGTGAAGGCAAAAAACCTTAACTTGTTTCAAGAGGTGCTTGATACCTGACAGGGTGCTAACAACAATGCTCTGTTCACTGATGCTGCTGCAGGCTCAGCTGTGATCAAAGAAATACTTTCTGTTGGCAGATTGTGAGCACCTGGGTGGTCATTACTGGGCTAATGATGTAATTGGGAGGATATAAGTAGAAGGAACAGGAAGCAAGGGGAAGCTTAGAGGGACAGCTCAGAAGATGAGCTGTGAGGGCAGGGGCGGCTCTATGTATTTTGCCGCCCCAAGCACGGCAGTCAGGCAGCCTTCGGAGGCACGCCTGTGGGAGGTCCGCTGGTATCGTGGATTCGGTGGCATGGCTGCGGGTGGTCCTCCAGTCCCGCGCCTTCGGCGTGCCCGCCGCCGAATTGCCGCCGAAGCCACGGGACCGGCGGACCTCCCACAGGCACGCCGCCGAAGGCTGCCTGACTGCCGCCCTCACGGCGACCAGCAGGCCCCCCCCCGCGGCTTGCCGCCCCAGGCACGCGCTTGGAGCGCTGGTGCCTGGAGCCGCCCCTGTGTGAGGGTACAGGGAAAGTTCAGGCTGGAAGATGCCACTGTTATGTTCTGCTTGTAAAAGTGCAGAGGAATAAGATACACGTGGTGAAAGGAAAGCAACCTGGGTGTGTTTGACTGTGAGGTGACAGAAACAGGCTAGATAGAGTGGCACACCAGGTAGCTGAGGGAATGCCCTGTGGTAATAAGTTAATGGGCTGATGGTCTGATGAGGTTGCTTACAGTGGCATATGGCCCTCCACGACTGCTATTAGGAAATATCTCCAACGGCCAGTGATGGGACACTAGCTGGGGAGGGCTCTGAGTTACTACAGAGAATTCTTTCCCAGATGTCTGGCTGGTGAGTCTCGCCCACATGCTCAGGGTCTAACTGATCACCACATTTGTGGTCAGGAAGAAGTTTTCCCCCAGGTCCGATTGGCAGAGACCCTGGGGGTTTTTTTTGCCTTCCTCTGCAGTGTAGGGCACGGGTCACTTGTTGGTTTGAACTAGAGTAAATGGTGGAGTCTCTGTAACTGAAAGTCTTTACATCAAGATTTGAGGACTTCAGTAACTCAGCCAGAGGTTAGGGGTGTATTACAGGAATAGGTGGGTGAGGTTCAGTGGCCTGCAATGTGCAAGTGGCCAGAATACATGATTATGATGTTGCCTTCAGGCTTTAAAGTCTATGAGCCTGTGAGCAAATCTCATTGCTACAGTGAGGGCTATAATGTAGGAAATACTTTCCCAAGAGAAGTCAGTTAAAACCAGACTGGCCACAGCACTTGCTGCTATACTGCAGGCAATCTAGTGTGGGCACCGATGAAAAGCTTGAGCATTTCCATCTCCAACTTGTTTAACACACTGAGACCTCTTTCTACACCGTTTTCGTGTTGACTATTTACTACTCAAATGACAGGGCCAATGGGCAAAACTGCAGGTGTGGAGCTTTTATTATAAAATATTGGACCTACTGTATCAGGTCTAGCCATTTGAAGGCATATGGGTAGAATCACATTTTTTTAAAAAAATCCAACCAACCCTGTCTCATTCATTGTTTATTTCACTAATCTGGTGTTGGAGGTAAACCGCTTGCTCCTTAGCTTCTCTTTGAAACAACCTTAAATGGGATTAAATGAGTCTTACTGTGGCTAGAATGTTTCACTGGACAGGCGCTGCGTTGCGAGTTAGCATTGATTGCCTGAGCCTCGCTCATTTCTTGCATCAGGGACAGGTCTGGAGTTCATCTTGCAGGGAGAGTAGTTAGGGGCTTAAGAGGCTGCCTGTGCAAAGCCGGTAATTCTGTTCTGCTCGTGAGTACAGGCTCCCAGGGAGCTCACTTTTGGCATCTGTCCTCTTTTTATGGAGGCTAATCAAATAAGGGTCAGCGTTGCATGTGATTAGAATCAGCTTGAGGGAGCAGGACACCCTGTGCCCAGCGGAAGATTGCTCCTTTCACACTCTAGAGGGGATGTCATTGGGTTTGATAAAACATTTTTCTTTCTTTCCTTGCAGGGTCCAATCGGGCCTCCTGGTGTTGCTGGTTCACCTGGTGCTCCAGTAAGGAAACATGCTTATGTTTTTCTTTGTTTGTTTGTAAAGGGACAGAAATGGCATTTTGAAGTAACTAAGGCTCAGGCCTGCTTCCGTAGACTTCAGTGGGAGCTTTGCCCTTGACTTCAATGGGAGTCAGATCTGGCCTTTGGCTAGGACATATCCATGCTCGCACTTCCTCATTCGGAAGCACTGGTTGACTTAATGTGATGGCTCCTGTACACTTATTCCTGGGGAAATTCTGTGCCACTGCGTGTGCACAGAAACACGTCCCCCTGCAGAGTCTCTTTGCTTCCCTACAGAAAAATGGGTTCTGTGGGGAAACAAAGAGCAGCTGCATCAGTGCTCACTCACCTCTCCCCGGAGCATGGACACATCCGTTTGGGCACCCAAAGCAGCCGGGAGAGAGGTAAGTCACGGGGCAGGGAGGGGGGGAGGTGACTGGGGATGCCATGGTCACCCAGGGACATCAGTCCCAGCTGGGTGGTGGTGGGGAAGGGAAGAGAAGGAGGACAATGGAGTCAGTTCCCCCTCTTGCTCCCCTCCATGGAGCAGCCAGGGCTGGGTCAGATCAACCCCCAGATCAACCTTCCCCAGCTGCAGGAAGCTCTGCACTAGGGTCGGGGCGGATTGGCGGGGGAGTCTGGGTGCAGGGAGTGAGGCTTGGCAGGGGGGTTGGGTGCGGGGGGGGGGGGTCCAGATGCACAGGGGTTGGGCAGATGGGGGAGCAGCTCCCTGTACAGTGACCCCTTCTCCACCTCCTGGCACCATCGCTCCTCAGCCACGGGAGGGAGGGGTCACGTAAAGGGAGCTGCTCCCCCTGTCCACCCAACCCCTGTGCATCTGGACACCCCTCCCCACGAGTCCCCCTCCAAGCCTCACCCGCTTCTGCATCTGGAACCCTGCCACAGCAGAACCCCCTGCCCCCGCAGTGGGAGCCCCTCGCACCCAGAACCCCCCACCCTGCCAAGCCTCTCGCCCTGCATCAGGAGCCCCAACCCCCACCTCCCTGAGCCTCACGCCCTGCATCAGGAGCCCTCGCACCCAAACCCCCACCCCACTGAGCCCCAACCAGCTTCACCCTGACCCCCACCCTACCAAGCCCCACTCCCCCAGTATCCCCCCAGTACTGAATCGCCCACACCCAGACCCCCCTGCTGAGCCCTAACCACCTTCACCTGGACTCCCCTGCAGAGTCCCATTCCCCCTGCATCCAGAACCCCCAACAAGCCCCTGTGTATCCAGATCTTCCCCTCCACCCCTGAACCTGTCACCAAGCTGCCCACACATAGATTGCACCACACAGAACCCTGGTACTCTCGTGTGAATTCTGCACCAAAAATTTAATTCTGCATCAAAAAATTAAAAAAATTCTGCAAAATTCTGCATAATTTTATTTTGTCAAAATAACACAGTAACAATTTAATCACACCATTTTCAATTATTTTGATATTTTATTTCAAAATACTTGTCAGCAAATAGTTGTATTTTGACAAATAAATTATACAGAATGTTGCATTATTTTAAAATATTGTGCGCAGTATTTTTTATTTTTGAGGGCAGAATTCCCTCAGGCATATTTGACAATTACTCCTAGTTCCCAAGGTAGAAACAGGCCTTTGTGAGTGGGCAAATTGTGCTGATCTATCTGAGCGGAAGTCGGTAAGCTGTAGTAGCAGAATGTCACTGCGTTGCAAAGGCCTGAATGCTAACAATTCCCTCCTGTCGTTTTGTTTGTAGGGATTGGCTGGAGAAACTGGTGTTTCTGGTAAAACTGGACTGCCAGGACCAGCTGTAAGTTCTGAATTGCTGCTTTCATTTCCGTCTTCTCTGACTCTGCATGTCTAACTTGCACCCTCTTTCTAGTACCTTGTCCACATAAAAGGTTAATGAGTCTGCTACAGTTGGTCTCTTCCTTCTCATGCACTAGAGACTTACACTTTTAGCAAGAGAAATCCTGAAGCAAGAATCTGTCATACACGTACTTTGGGATTTCAGTACGAGAATACATTCGGGCAATACTTTTTTTTATTACTGCCCCCAAATTATTGCAACATGCAGTTCTTTAAAACCACAAGCTTCCCAAATCAGGCATGTGAACTGAAGCAAAATCTCCATCTTAGAACAGCAAAGCAATTTCCATTGGGTATTTAATGGCAAGGCAGATCAATTAGGAAATAATTGGCTTTAATAGGCACTCCCACAATCTATAAGGTTCTTCAGTGGCTGTGTTAAGAAAAGAGTCTTTCCTACCTTTCTAATACATTAGACAAATCATTTTCATGATGATTCTGCTAATTGATGCTTTCACATCTATTTGATAGATTGTATGGTTAATAAATTGCTGACACTTAAAGAAGGAGACAGACTATTTTATCCTTGGAGGCAGAAGAGACTGGGAACCGATGAGTAAAGATACCATCTCCAAACTTATTTAAGAACCAATTTATTTATAGTCTTTAAGGTGCTTGCTGTTCTTTCTCTGTAGCAACAGTGACATCCAGTGGCCATTTACCAAGACTGGTTTATTGGATAGGAGATGCATCATTGGCCTTGGGAGCATGTGTGTTACATGATGTTTCCCTGTGATCCAGATGGAAAATAGAACAGAAATGTAAAAAACTCAGCAAAGAAACAATGGGGCTGATTCTGCTGTCCTTAAAACCAGCATAACTGAGAGAACACTGAGGTCATATGTGCCTGTATCTCCTAGCAGCTGGATGCTAAATGAGTCCCGGTTTAAAATGGTCTGAACGTAAGTGGTCTCCCACAGCTGATAATTTTCTCTTGTTTAGGGATCGCCTGGCAAGGATGGATTAAATGGTCTTCCTGGATTTCCGGGCCAAAAGGCAAGTGGCACAGGATATTCCAATTTAACACTATTCACCTACTGATCTTACTCTGTGGACAGAGTGGCAAACTTCTCCATGCTAAATTCTCACCCATTCCACTTCAGTGAGCCAGTAGGTGCAGCTTCAGGGCAAATCAGCTGAAGCTACTGTGTTGAATTTGGCACAGGGTGTATTCAGCCCCTGTGACGGGTTCCCCGGGATGCAACCTGGATCTGGGGTACCGCCGAGCCCTCTGGCATACCAACTTAGGCTCCAACTCACACTGTGATGCTGTGACAAGCTGTCAGCCTCTCTAAGTATTGCACGTACACAGCCATCCACAGGCAGGGACACACCCAGCTGAGTTCCATGAATGCTTCTCCTTAGCCACTCATGAACTAACAACAGAGAGGCTTCAGCCAATTCCCACAGCTCCCCAGCCTAGGACCCCAGGGCTGTACCATCCTGTCCTGGCCAGAAGCCTGACCAGTGTAAGTTTATTACCCAGTCCACCCCTCCCTCTATGTGGAGAGGATGTGCACCCGCTTTTATACACTGAACAGATTTCCCAAGCACTTCAACCAAAACACACTGTTTAAGGTAAAATATAAAACAGATTTATTAACTACAGAAAGGTACATTCTAAGTGATTATAAGTAGTAAGCATAGAGATCAAAGTTGGTTACCTAAGAAATAAAAGTAAAATCGCAATCTAGTTCTATAAACTAGACAGGATTTGAATCAAGCAAAGTCTCACCCCGATGATATGGTTCCTTCATACACAAACTGGGATTGTCCTCTCCAGCCTGGAACCACCTCCCCAGTTCAGTCTTTGTTCTCCAGACTTGTTTCCAGGTGTTGAGTTTTGGGGGGAGAGAGGCCAAGTGATGATGTCACTTCCCTTTTGTATAGTTTCTTCCAGCTTGCTGGAAAGATCCTTGGCTATGACGTGAGTCAAGCAGTCTCCATTGTCTACATGCTATCTCTGAGACGTCTTCATTGTATACAGCTCCTAGGATAGTCGTTGTGAGTGTGGACTCCTTTAACAGGCCATCAGCATGTCTGGCTCCTCCATTGTTGCACCCGAAAGGCTGATTTTGGGTGTTCCCAATCTCACAACATATTTCAGTAACACACACATAGCAAAACATAGCAAATGTGGCAGGCGACCAGCTTGGCTTAACAGAGAAATCTTTGGTGAGTTTAAACACAAAAAGGAAGCTTACAAGAAGTGGAAACTTGAACAGATGACTAGGGAGGAGTATAAAAATATTGCTCAAGCATGCAGGGGTGTAATCAGGAAGGCCAGTTGGAGTTGCAGCTAGCAAGGGATGTGAAGGGTAACAAGAAGGGTTTCTACAGGTATGTTAGCAACAAGAAGAAGGTCAGGGAAAATGTGGGACCCTTACTGAATGGGGAAGGCAACCTAGTGACAGATGATGAGGAAAAAGCTGAAGTACTCAATGCTTTTTGTGCCTCGGTCTTCACAGACAAGGGCAGCTCCCAGACTGCTGCACTGGGCAGCACGGTATGCGGAGGAGGTAAGCAACCCTCAGTGGTAAAAGAACAGGTTAAGGACTACTTAGAAAAGCTGGACATACACAAGTCCATGGGGCCAGATGCACTGCACCCGAGGGTGCTGAGGGCTGATGTGACTGCAGAGCTGTTGGCCATTATCTTTCAAAACTTGTGGCGATCAGGGGAGGTCCCAGATGATTGGAAAAAGGCAAATATAGTGCCCATCTTTAAAAAAGGGAAGAATGAGAATCTGGGGAACTACAGACCAGTCAGCCTCACCTCAGTTCCTGGAAAAATCATGGAGCAGGTCCTCAAGGAATCCATTTTGAAGCACTTGGAGGAGAGGAAGTTAATCAGGAACAGGCAACATTAATCCACCAAGGGCAAGTCATGCCTGACCAACCTGATTGCCTTCTATGATGAGAGAACTGGCTGTGTGGTTATGGGGAAAGCGGTGGACGTGATATACCTTGACTTTAGCAAAGCTTTTGATACGGTCTCCCACAGTATTCTTACCAGCAAGTTAAAGAAGTATGGATTGGATGAATGGACTATAAGGTGGATAAAAAGCTAGCTAGATCGTTGGGCTCAACGGGTAGTGATCAACGGCTCGATATCTAGTTGGCAGCCGGTATCAAGCAGAGTGCCCCAGGGGTCGGTCCTGGGGCCAGTTTTGTTCAACATCTTCATTAATTATCTGGATGATTGGATGGATTGCACTCTCATAAATTCACAGATGACACTAAATTGGGGGAGAGGTAGATATGCTGGAGGGTAGGGATAGGGTCCAGAGTGACCTAGACAAATTGGAGGATTGGGCCAAAAGAAATCTGATGAGATTCAACAAGGACAAGTGCCGAGTCCTGCACTGCTACAGGCTGGGGACCGACTGGCTAAGTGGCAGTTCTGCAGAAAAGGACCTGGGGATTACAGTGAACGAGAAGCTGGATATGAGTCAGCAGTGTGCCCTTGTTGCCAAGAAAGCTAACTACATATTGGGCTTCATTAGTAGGAGCATTGCCAGCAGATCGAGGGAAGTGATTATTCTCCTCTATTCGGCACTGGTGAGGCCACATCTGGAGTATTGCATCCATTTTTGGGCCCCCCACTAAAGAAAGGATGTGGACAAATTGGAGAGAGTCCAGCGGAGGGCAACGAAAATGATTAGGGGGCTGGGACACATGATTTATGTGAGGGAACTGGTCTTATTTAGTCTGCAGAAGAGAAGAGTGAGGGGGGATTTGATAGCAGCCTTCATCTACCTGAAGGGGGGTTCCAAAGAGGCTGGAGCCTGGCTGTTCTCAGAGGTGGCAGATGACAGAACAAGGAGCAATGGTCTCGAGTTGCAGTGGGGGAGGTCTAGGTTGGATATTAGGAAAAAATCTATTTCACCAGGAGGGTGGTGAAGCACTGGAATGGGTTATCTAGGGAGGTGATGGAATCTCCATCCTTAGAGGTTTTTAAGGCCCGGGATTGGTCCTGCTTTGAGCAGGGGGTTGGACTGGATGACCTCCTGAGCTCTCTTCCAACCCTAATCTTCTATGATTCTATGAAAAAGGCATAACGTCCCATACAATGAGAGCACATACAATCCAACAGGATATTAATGTTCAACAGATCAAGCCTTTTAAAATGATACCTCACAAGCCATACTTTGTACAAAACATATCATAATTATATGGCAGTGGTGAATATGGAGGTTCCAGGGTGGTGCTTTGAAGCACAGAATGCCACAGTCCCACGAACAGCAGGAGAGGGAGTGACTTTCTCATCCCCTCTCCTTAATCCAAATGCCTCCTTCTACTGTTTGCTGGCAAAGAAGTGGCTGCCAAACTGCTAGGTACAGTTACAGCCTTGCCAGATGCCATGGGGGGATTGTATCTCAGTACCAGTGCCATCCCCGAGGTGAGTTCAGACTCTCTTCTCAGGGCACAATTATTCAACCACCCAAAGCCCACGAGTAACACCCAACAAACGTGGGCTGAAGTCCCCACAGATTTTTCCCTTGCCTGTCCCAGCCACTGGAAAGAGAACACATCCTTCCTTTAAATCTCCTGCTGGATCACGTGACAGGCAGGGAACTCTGAACCCTGTCCTGGCTGTGGTACCCTCTCACAGGAATTAAGTGCAACAGGAACAAAACACAATAAATACTGCTCACAATGATAGATTTAAAAACCAGCATCCTTCCCTACATGGCTATCCAGGTGGAGAAGAGGTGTGTGTCCTGCCTTAATGGGAGAAGTGTCCTCACTTGAGCCACCGTCAATACTTACTGGAGCATTAAGGAAAAGGGCTCTGTTATGGTTCTAAGCAGCTGTGCTTCTCCACTGGAATTAGGTGGCAGCATTATGAATGGTGAAGCCAGGAGAAAACTTGAACTGCGGGTGGCAGTTCCTACACCTCTTCTGCTGCAGCTGCCAGCCTGTGTTAAAGGACTAGAAAACCTGCCTTACAGTGATAGACTCAAGGAGCTCCATCTATTTAGCTTAACACAGAGAAGGTTAAGGGACGACTTAGTCACAGTCTATAAGTACCTTCCTGGGGAACAAATATTTAATAACACGCTCTTCAGGCTAGCAGAAAAAGGCTATAACACAGTCCAATGGCTGGAAGTTGAAGCTAGAGAAATTCAGACTGGAAGTAAGGAGCACAGCTGCCAACTTTCACACGGTAAATAAGCCCCCCGACTTTCACAATCAGCCAAAAATCAAGCTAATCCCATTTCAAAACAAGGCCAACAAGCCAATCCCTAAGAACCCCAACACTCTATGTATGTGACTAGATCCGCCCGGCCTGCAGTCTGGGACTGTGGTGCACCCCTGACTCTCTCCCCACTCCTTGCCCCTGATTGCCCCCCTTTGTCCCTGCTTGCTGGGAGCTGATAAAAAAAAGAAGCTACAAGCCAAACAAGCAACAACCTACAAGCCAAAGACTAGCCAACAAGCAACTCACAAGCCAATGAAGCCAAAAACAAGCCCAATTTCTGCTTTTTTCCCATGGGTTTGGCATGTCTGGTAAGGAGTGAATTTTTTGACGATGAACTACTCTTGTACAATGGCTTGAGGTTGTTCATGGAAGGAATTTGGCTCCATGTTATTCCAGAATGGAATCCAATGAGCTTTGGGGTTTTGTTTACAAATTTTTCAAGAGTGGACAAGGCATCTCAGGAAACAAACAAAGCATGCGTCCGCACACCCACGCACGGAGTTACTGGCGATCTGAACCACCTGGCTCCCCGCTCAGACTGTTGTCGCACATTTACTGCACCCCTGGAGCGTTGTTCTGTTAACCTCCATTTGTGTTCCTTACAGGGAGAACAAGGAGACAGGGGACAGGAAGGTTTTCCTGGGAAAGCTGGTCCCAAGGTAAGGAATTCCAATTTACTGAGCTCTCTGTAAGCATGAATCGAATCTGCCAGAGCACGATTCTGATTTCATTTATATCCGTGTAAGTAGGGGTAGCCCTGCTGACGTTGATGGCCTTACATTTGTGTAACACTGGTGTAAGGGAAAGGAGAAGCAGGTCCGTGTCCCTCTGTGCACAGTGGATTCTGTCACAAGGTTCCATCATACCTAGACATGGACCCAACTAGGACTCAGGATCTGACACTGACCTTTTAGGAGGTTTGCTCTGGCGTATTGGATCCTGCTGCTCCCTGTGGGCCACATAGGGGGACCCATTTCTAGATGTGGGTTGGAGAGGGAGGAAGGAACTCCTGTGAGACATCTGTTTTGCTGTATGGTGATATGGGGTGTAACATCATGATTATAAGGCAGTGTTAAGGGGCATTGGTTCCCTGTAATACTAAAGCTGTGCTTTTGTCTTTCCAGGGTGAGAGCGGAGATCACGGCTCACCTGGTCTAGCTGGTGAGAAGGTGAGCAGGCAAAATTGTCTTAGCAATAAGGCCACCTGCCAAAGCAGTTCATAGGAACCAGACATGGGACTAAATCCTTCAGTCAATAACTAGATACAATGACATTGGTTTGACTCTGACTGAAGGCTGAATTAGCAGTGTTTGGAATGATCAGGTTTATGGTCAGGTAGAACGTGGGGGAAGCTCTAATTAAATGAGGATAAAGCCGAACTGCCTGGGCACCCCTGACAATCTGGTCTCATGCGTGATGAATGAAGAGAAGGAAAGCAAAGAGGCCTAGGCAGATGCACCTGGTCTCCTGGGCACACAGCATTAGTCCAGCATGTTGGTGGGACTTCTGAGAGACGGGGGTCTCCGTATAACCATACAATGCAGGGGGGAGAGTTGTCACCGTCTCTCCAAATGCTACAGCTGTGAGTGGTACTTGCCAGGAAAAGTGCCCCACATGACAGGTCTCTTGTGGAACATAGAGGCAGCAAAGTTATTGAGCTCCTGGTATCCTGTGGCTTCTGGCTGCCCCTGCTAGCAGCTGAGTGGCCCCCCGCCTAGGAGCTGGACCTGCTGGCCGCTTCCAGGGC